ATATCTTAAACCATCAGTGATCATGATTTATTGACATTAAAGCTTTACTCATCTTTCAGGTGAACAGCAGTGACCATGTTTGCCAAGATTGCTGGTACTCGGCGCAAAGATCACCTGTTGAAGCACCAAGGCATATTGATGACAACCGTAGTGTTTGTCTCTGCTGTGAGTGTTCTTGCATCACAAGTCAGCCATCTTTTTCGCATGAACTCAAATTGTGAATTGAGAATTTATAATGTTATAAAAGAATGGATTATTCTTCGAACTGTATGTTGAATCAGATTACATGTTTTTATAATTACTTTTACTGTAAGCCAAATAGATTTTTTTAAATACTTAAATGTTTATGTTTGTTTGTTGCAGGTAGAAGTGGCACGTCTCATACTTGGGTGGCTACAGACCGAGCTGCTGTCCATATGGTCTCGGACTCATCAATTTGTTCACAAGGAAGCTATCCTGAATAAATACAGACATAGACACAAGATCTTCCCACTGAGCCTCCAAATGAGAAAGTTAGAAGCTAACAACCTGAACCTACTATTGTATTACCAGACTACATGAGAGCTATAGAAACGGAAGTAGGTGCTTTATTGAAAGATACCAGACAACAAAGAGGTACAGAGTGAAATATTATATCGCTGAGAACAGTTCCTTGTGATTGACATTTGATTATTGAAGCATGGGATTCTTTAGGCAGTCTGTGGTCTAATTATGTACCAGACTTTTACAGCAAAGCAAGCATATCTAGGATATGATATCCCTATAAGAAGTTCTACATCTTGGTTTACTGCATTTTCACAACATAGATTATATGGAGGACCAAGTCGTATATACAAATACATGGATTGGCTTGAATAACGTATTCTTACTGCTCAACAAAGTTTCTCAGCTATTGGAAATATCAAGAGCATCCCTAGCTTTAGCAGCATATTTGATGAAGCTTAGAACTGGGGATTTGGAATATAATTGAAATGAAATAAAAAACTGTTTTTCTGTTTAAACATCACATCCTTACCTGTAATCTTTTGAATTTCATAACATCCTCCAACTTTACAAATATGTAAGGGTTATACTCTGTATAGATAGTTATGGGTATTATGTGTGATGAATTATTAAAAGTTGTGGAACCAAAGTAGTTTTTGCTTATGATGTTAGTAATATATGCCTGTGAGGTTATATTTTACAAATATTGTAAAATACTAACAACCTCGCTGGACTATATTACTAACAACTTGGGTTCCACAACTTTATAATTCATCACACTTTACATTCACACAAAAATAAAAATTTTGAAATAGATCGCTCTAAGCAGTAATAAAGTAACTCTGCAAAAAGCAGGAGCGCGGGTAGGGGTCGTCTGGGAGGATTCTTGCTTGTTTGAACTTACTACCAGATACAGATCTAAACAGTGTCAGACAGTACAGTAAAAACTCAAAAGTTTATTTTTGGTAAATTATGTTTTGTAAAAAGTCATGGAACCAAAGTTGTCTATGATGTCAGTAGGTAATATAGTCCTATGTTGTCTTTACTATTTATAAAATAACCCTGTATATAAAAAAAAACAAATGCACTCCAAAAATCAGCTGTTAATTTTATTATAAGTTGTTACATAACCTCATTTTTACTAAATCTCTTATAATTGTGCTCTCAGATCGCCAAATTTCGTAGAATTTCCAGTGATGATATAACAATACACAAGCTATTTATTGTTATCACCTTCAACTTTTTACATCTTGACCCAAGATTGTATGAAAGCGTATCGATCTCCTTCTAGATTACCATGTAAAAAATCAAAATATTGTATTTAATCAAGCATTGACTAACAAATTATGCAATTTCAGTTTAAATTGTCTACGGTTTATTTCGATTACACCATCTAGTAAGTTATTAAATAATTTGGGTGCTAATACAAACATCGTTCTACTGCAATATTCCAAATTAGATGCATTAACATTGCATTACGCGTAATATTACTATCACATGAGATGTCTCATAAACTAACATCACTCCGTGATGTTACCGTTACAACATCACTCGCATTACTTAGACTATAAACATCACTCCGTAATATCACCATCACTCATTACACTAAGCATCACGCATCATAAACATCACACTGTAATATTAGCATCACGCGTACTGTTTCCGAGTGATGCATCTTGCGAGCAATGTGTGATGCTAACATCACGCGTAATGTTAGCATCACATTGCATCATTGCATCACGCCGCGTACTGTTTCGCGTAATGGGTGCTACGTAACATTACGGCACGATTAGCAATGTCCCATCAAGTAGTACATCGAAAATTTGCTAGGTGGCGCTATTAATATAGATATTTACGATAATTACTTCATATTGGGAAACGCCCAGAGCGCCCCGACGTGGTCTATGTAATGGGTAATGTTATGATGAGTAATGCATATTTTTCCAAAGTGATGCGTGATATCACAGTACCGTGTCGCGTGATATCACCTTTGTAATATTACTTACATTACTTACACATGTCTACACTCACTCGTGCACGCGGCAGTTGACGCGACGTGACGTCGATATGAACCGAATTTTACCGGGCTTTATAATACTGTCAAATCAAAATGTACTCTTAGCTCGGACGCTCTGGACATGAAAAGTGACCCATATTTAAGGTCCGGTTAGTAACCAGTCACTCGGACGGAATAAATAGTTTCATTTGACAACTAAAACCCAAAAGCCGCTACTGTACCGATAGCTAGTTTCAGAAACTGTTTACGTTCTGAAGCGCCCACCACTAGCCGACAGCAGGCCCCATCGTGACGCGACCCAGAGTGCATGTCTCACTTAACGACCGAATACTATATTTTGTTCCTCAACTTAGTTTTAGTTTAAGTACATACGTTACACTTTAGGTTCCTACTCTTGTAATCTTGAAAACCGAGGACTTTGTAGCCAACGATCAATTATTAACTCTGTACCACCAGTTGCCGCTGCGGCCGTTATTTATTTATTTATTTCAGACAATCAACGGCGTTTCTTAAATAATACGTAACAAAATAAATTATTTTTGTTTGTAAGGCTAATAAGAGATCGCCCCGCGTTATTTAGAAGGTAGTCGGTAAAAAGAATTTCAACATAAAAAAGTAGCAATTGTATCCACTAAGAAAAAACAATAGACAGAAAGGTAGTAGACAGAATATGGTGTATAATTAGCTGGTTTGTCAAATTAAATAGGGAAGTTAGTGACAATATTATTATTATGTATACGTATTATTATTATTATTATTGTATTTATTTTAAACTCTATTATTATTATTATTATTATCGTATTTATTTTAAACTCTCGCCTCTCCCAAGGCCTAAAAAATTAATTATTATTATTATTATTATTATTATTATTATACAAAATACGAAATTATTAAGTGCAGTGTCCCCGCTTTTGGGTAAGTGTGAACAAGTAGTACTTTAAGAGGGAGCATGCCTAAAAAGTTTTGACGTTGGCTCCGCCCAAATTTGTGAAACCAATATATGCCTGAAGTTCGCGTGACATGCGACAGGAGATGTTGAATTTTGCGCATTAAAAGTACCAGATTCGTTTTAGCGGAATAACTCTAAAACTAAAGGGATTTAAAAAATCCTTAGTGACAGTTGTCGATCACGCATAAATATAATTAATTATCTAATTTTTGTCCTAATAACATGTAGCATTTCGAGCATAAATCGAAAAAATGTGAAAATTAGATGTCATTTCGTGATTTTTATCTATCGAGGAAACTTTATTGTTTTATGTTTCTGATTAATGTCTATGCTTGAATATATCGTGTAGTTACTCATACAATATTTTATTTTTAACTTTAAAGTGGATATACCCCTTATAATCAAATCGAAGATTAGGAATTTTTCCTCTGCTCCCTCTTAAGTAGTATTTAAGTTAGAGTAATAAATAATTGTGTCGTGCAGCTTATTGAGCTTGCTTAATCAAAATGGCTTATAGCGATTTTGCACATCAGCTTCAATGTCAATTCTGGGTCAATGTCCTCCAATATTATTTAAAGTCATAGTCATAGTCAAGGTGCATATATGTTTGTCCTAATTTGGTGGAACTAAATTCCAGGTTTTACGATACGGGCTACTGCTACCACAGGCGCAAATTGGAGTCGCCCCTAGAATCTCATCTAGTGCCACTGACATCCAATAGGGCTAGCACGACAGGGCGGGACTCAAAGCGCGAGACACTGGTATTCTTGCATAGAGATTTCACTATTTATGTCGCTCACGCGCATGTCGTACCTAGTTGTGCTGGCCCTACAGGGGCCCCGCGAATGGGTTCCCGACTTGTCGTGGTGGGGGGCTCTAGTAGCCGTGGTCGATTTCATCCCACGGTGAAGCTAAGAGGAACTCACGGGCCGGCCTATGGAGCTAGGCTGGGCCGAGGAGTACCGCGCGGGCTCGTCTTGATCTAGGCCGAGCGGGTCCGCGCGTACGCATGCGCGGAGGAGGGTCGCGGGGGAAGAGATGTGTCGGTGTGTCGTTGCCGCTCGTCCTATCCTCCGCGACCCAGGCGGGGCTGCACCGCTTAGGGTGCAGATGCAGCGGCGGTGGGGCCGCGGGGGAAGAGACGTGTCGATGTGTTGTTGCTGCTCGTCCTGTTCTTCGCGGCCGAATTTGAGCGATTGGCCCGTGTGGTGGGCGCTCCAAAGGACTCTCTACGGGGAGTCCACTTTTGTTTTGTTGTCAGACGTGACACATTTTAAACCCATCAAGGGTTTTAGTGTCTTAACTACATGTTACTGAAGTTGTAAATTAAATGAAGAATAAATAAATAAAAAAAAATAAAATAAAAAATAAAAAAGATGCGCGTAGGGTGTTGCGGCGGTGTCTACCAACAGATCCGCCGCGGGGGCTGGGGAGAGAGGGGGAACTAAAAATCATTGATCCCGTGGTTTGCCGCCCTTACAGGTGCAATATTTTCGGTTACTGTTTATATTTTTTTTCTAGTTTTGAAATGAGAAATTCATTGTAGATTGGAAGCTTTTTATTAATTCCATCCACTTTGTAGTAATTTTGAAAATAAGCTTCTTTCAAATAATTCACTTAGATTTTACAATGACAGAAATCACTAAGCTTTCCGATTTGATAAATTGTTAGTAACAAATAGTTTCATTTTCTAAACACTGAAAAAAATACTAAAAGTTCCCATTCTTTATTAATCGTAATATTTGATATTTCTGGCACCTTCAATATAAATGTTGTCTTTGAAGTAATTTTTCATTGCATGTCTCTCGCAGTGTTCTAAAGGCACTTCCACGTAAGCTGAAATCAAAAGGGTTAAGGTCTAATATACTTCCGATCAGATAAATATAAATATAAATAACGCACACACTCAACATAGCCCCGCACTAGGGAAACCCTGTGTCGCGGGTGCCATGGACACACACATAGACAACCACAAATTACACCCAAACTCACGAGAGAAATAAATGTAGGCCATACAAATATTTCTCCCGGCCCGGGAATCGAACCCGGGGACCTCTGCGTGGCAGTCCGGTATGGTAACCGTTCGGCCACGGAGGCAGTTAAGATGAACAATGAAGTGATTTTACTTTTTTAATAGATTTCTATTGAATTCAAATTAAATTCCTTAGTAGTCTGGATCTAAAAAGAATTTACAACAAATTCATAACCATCTATCATAGATTGTTTCAAAATGATTAAACAAAATTTTAGGAACGTTACCAATATTTTTTAGTAATCTCGCAAAACCTAATTATGCACCGGACTCCTTCATGTACGACCGGCATCCACTAACAGGACGGCACGGCAGGGAGACTTAAGCTGACGAATAGCTAATTATATACCTTAATGTTGACATTGCAGTTGAAATTTCAATTATAATCGTTGTAGCCACAAAACTGCGGTAAGTTTAGGGATATCGAGCCGGCAGCCTTCGGGATGTTTTAGCAGGCTACCTAAGTTTATTCTCCCCAAATGTTTCTCCTTCTTTGAACATAGTTCTCTTCTTCTTCAGCAAAACTACCATTTTCTGATATATAAATGCTAATAAACCAGCTTGCAACGTTACGACTGATTTTAAGAGAGGCAAAGCGCAAGCATGATGTCGCGACTGTATGCCTCAGGATACCGCGACATGATTGCCATCAATATGTGCTTGCATGTGGGAATGCCGAAGGATCCCTTACTAGGCCGTCACGCTAATGGGCGCCAGGGCTTCGCACCGTACACAGAATTTTTGTAACGTAATAAAAAGATACAATGGAATATGTAAATAATACCTATTTACAATATCGAGATTTTTCAATCACATAGCGAACAAAACGCAAAAAAATAATATAAAACACATCTTACACTCAATATCATCGTCGCCCCTGCAGTTCAGCATATCCATATGGCACTGGTTCCGGAAAGACCTGTACACATAGGACCTAATGGTGTTTGCTCCACACACAGGTCTATAGTAATTTGCACAGAATACTGGGCAGGAATCTTCCTCAGATCTTCTGGATATCAATTGCCTGTTGTGATATTTCACACAGAATTCCAAAGGTGTTTGAATATACACTGAAAAAAAAAACATAATAATAATGATGTGTTATATCTGTCTCTATGTCTTTCACTCCAGAAGCAGTACCAGACCAGCAGAATTCACTCAGGGATATTACCCAGAACATCCAGACCAGAATCAATTTGGAAAAGTTCGTTTCCCAAGTTGGTCTGTTAACTCTGGAAACTAGGATATCCTCGTTCAGCACCCACAATGCTTTGGGCCATCAAAGTCATCACAATAATAAGAAAGCAAACAATGAGCACAACCATTTCAAGGCGAACTAATGAAATTTTTGATGTCTTCTACTCAATCACGTCGAATCCATTATTGAACTGAATAACATACATAACCAGGTCTTAATATTGGGTAAGATTTTTTTTTATAATTAGCCTGTATGTGAAAAAAAAAGCAAGTAGAAACTAGTTTATTTATTTTACCTTAAAGAATACAAAGGGAACGTTTGTTGTTTGCTGATAGAAATCCAATAAGTAAATAAGCTTTGATAACACAGTTAGGTAAACAAGACTACAACCTAACAAGCGCGACATCGTAATACGCAGTCAATAACTAGGTCATAGATAATAGAATAAAAATATACAAAAATAAGTTGAGTTTTTATTTTTGTATATACGAAATTTTATAAAACTATGAAACGCATATGAAATACTAATCACACATAGGGCCCGCATGAAGCACAATCTAAACTGTTTTCTTGGAAGAGAGCAACAGTAGGGCGCAAAGTTATTGATACTATAAAGCACATTTAGTAGCAGAAGAGCTCATTGTGAAAGAGTTCCTATAGGATTGCCACCATACCTATTTCTGCCCCCAAGTTTTCCGATTTTGAAAGGTAAGGGTGCTGGTGAAATTAAATGACAGGCACATCGGTCTTGTCAATTATGTCTCAGGGTGACAGAAGCAGTAACAGTGCCTTTCAGAGCTTTGCGATTTAAACCACTGATGTCTTGCAATGTCACTGCAACTGTTATGGATAGGCGTGTAGCTTACTACCAGGCGCACGACTTGTTCGTCCCGTCACTTGTAGGGTTTTTCAACAAGAACTTTGTTTCGTAAATCAAAATAAAACAATAAATATGATGACAACGATTCAAATTTTCATTGTATCAAAAAAGTAAGGTTAGGCAATTATGAATGAAAAATTATATCTGATAAATGTCCACCACGACCAAAGTTATACAGATGTCGATTCTTTCATCAAAGTTTTTAATCACTTGTTGACAAAATGGTGGGTCCATTTCGTTAATCACGAATTTTCAGTTTTAATGCTGCAATCGATTCGATTGGCTCCGTATAGACTCTGTCTTTAACATAACCCTATAAAAATAATCCAGCGGTGTTAAATCACATGATCGAGCTGGTCACATAACGGCTGAATTTCGTGAAATTATGCGATCGTAAAATTTGGTTTGCAATGAATTCATTGTTTCGGTGGCTGTGTGACTTGTGCCGTTGGCATTGAGCCGTTTTTCTTCAAAAATTAAAAAATAAAAACATAGTACCCTATGTTTTTACTATACATTCCGCCCCAGGGTTTCGAACCGTTCGCACCGCTAGTAAAAAACTTTATACTTTTTTTAAACATTTTTTTTTTACGTCAATGACGGAACAGGGTTCTTATTATCTTCCTACCCCAAAACTAAAAGAGGTAATTTTCTCATCAAATCATGATACGGTAAACAAGGGTAAAGATTTGACGCCAGATGTTACGAACAAACATGTAATCCAATCACGATTGTTTGTGTTAAGTCGGTATACAGGGTGTACATAACAAGAGGTCCAACCGTAAATAGCCGACTCTTTTTTCAGAAATAAATAAACGTACGATGTTACTAAGCTCTCAAAAATCAACATTCTCCACTAATTGTTGTATGTTAAGTTGAATATTCTGATTTTCCCTTGTCTAAGCTGGTCAAGCAGCAAAAACCATAGATATAAATCCACATGTGAAAAGAAGCCCAAACAGACTTGTTGTAGAGCATACCTAAAAGTACAATATACTTAAAGTCTCTGCTAGACATGCATGACTATTTGTAAGAAACTACAAAGTGAAATAAAAAACTGACATATTCAAGAATTACCACTGAATTATGAATAACTAACAAAGGCTAATTATTAAAAAATACAGTGTGAATAAATATTCAGAAAAATAATTTTGTATTTATCGAGTTCTTAGGTATTCGCGATTGTTACACATAGGAAATGAAACTATTTTTCCGGATTTAAATCGCGTATATTTGTTTTTTGAAACAAACCTTTATAAAATAAATAAACAAACAAAGGTTTGTTTGAAAAAACAAATATACGCGATTTAAATTCGGAAAATTTGTTTCATTTCCTAATTTTGAATTATTTTAAAATATTATGACATCCTTTTTGTAATTCTTGACATATTTAATTTGTAAAATTGTAACTTTCGATTTTCTTATTTATTATTGTACTACTACTTACAATAATTTGTAGTAGTCGTTTAAGATTTTGTCATTACACATTTGTATGATATTATTATGTACGCGAAACATGTTTGTATTGGCACTGTTTTCTTTATCTGTTATACAACTTTTGGTATACCATGTTTGTAGCAAATAAAAGAAAATAATTATTATAAGCTGCAGCTCAAGATGACAAGTATTAAACCAAAACCTTGCTCTGGAAAATTTGCAGAAAATTAGAATTACAACAGCCAAGAGAGAAACGATATACAACTCGTAATCATACTTACTAAAAAAAAATATTTTAAAATGGTTAAAAAAACTTTGTTTGTTTGTTTCATGTGGTTCGTATTATTTTTATTGTGTGATAAAAGCAACTTTGCTGTATCACATGTGGCTGTATATACCAAAGACACGAGTTTCCGAGAGGGAAGGAACGCATTTTGAAAAAGGACACAAAACACTTTTTTGTTTCATCTGCTTTTGCAACATAATCAGCCGTGTAGATGGTTACAGCTTGTAAAGAGCCCAAAACGTTGGTTGGTTGGTATATGAAGATACAAATATACGCAATTTGGACCCGAAAAATAGTTTCATTTCCAAACTCTTCCTTGTTAGAACTGTGATTACCAGTTGAAATATAGTCACAAAGGAGTACTCTTCGGAGAAACGAACTCGTGTCTCGATGATTTAAAAGATAATTTTTTTATGATACTATATGATGGGACGTACATGTCGTGCGCCTGGTGTTAAGTGACACGCCTGTTCATGAGTCGCAGTGCCACTCAGAGTTTTCAATAGCAAAGATCTGAGGGACACTACCACTGCGCCGGTTACCATGAGATATAACTTGACAAGTCTCATGTGCTTGTAATTTCACCAGCACCTTTACCCTTCAAAACCAGAACGCATTAATGCTCACATTACAGCTTCTTGGCAGAAATAGGTAACGTGACTTACCGCCCTGGATGAACTCTGGGCTCCTATTCCTACTACTACTACAAGATGGTATTATTATTGTATTATTTATTATTGTACCATTCTATGATCACACCTTTATGTTGCCCCCTGTTGTATGTATATGTTGTGGCTTGGAATAAACACGTCAAAATAGAAGTTTGATGGAACTTAGTATATCTTTACTTAACGGTTATTGGAAAATTGAGTTGATTTATTTTATATGTATGTGTGTATATATATAAACATGATGATTGACTCAGATAATATATAACATAGATAGGTGGTGTTTGATATTAGTTAATGTTCTGTGATTTTATCAGTTGTGACGTAGTAAGTGTAGTATACTTGTTTAGTAGTAGTGTCCGGTATTCTAAGTAAATGTACTTAGAATAATTATATACAATAAATATTCAATTTTGTAACCGCATTCGTTGGTTTCACTCGTCTCCAATATCCCCGGCTACCACCGTCCCTACATGGCGACCCTGCCTTATTTGGATGCGTGTCGCGCAACACAGTGCAAACCTACCAGTGAACTGTGACTGGACCCATTTGAAAACATGTGTAAACCAGCAGCGCCGAGTCCTACAATCCCAAATACTGAGGATAAACACGATATTATCACTCAAGTTGAATACAGCAATGTATTGAATCAACACGCTCATGAAGCCGTCAATTATATGAGTCATATAAGTTTAACTTTATGGCTTTTAATTGCAGCCATACTTCTGGGGATAATTTTTTTTCACTATACGCGAGCTATAGTGGTAGAATACCACAAAAATCAAGAAGCTTAAATATGTATGTACATGTGTGCGTGTAAACAGTGTTTAAAGTGAAAATGATACAATTACGTGGTAAATACGTGAGTGGATATTCATTAATTAATCAATAGGCGAGAAGGACTTTAAGTTTATTTTTATGGTATGGAAATAATAAAGAATTTACATGAGTCTTTATTACAAATAAGAACTTATTTAATTAAGATAGGACCAATACGGAGAGAAGGTGAAATAGTGCTTAAAAAATTTGAAGAAGCGAAAAAACTACAAAAAATTTTGCGTAGTAAAATAGATGAGATAAGCAAAGATACAGACAGTGGATTAATAAAGGAATAGGAAATTAAATTAATTAAAGAAAGGATTAGTAAGTTTAATGTATTGTGCAATGAAATAGAAGAATTGTGTAAAGTTACAAAAAAAATTATGTAATACAATGGAGTTTGATCTTAAGACTGCGTTAAATTTATTCCCAGTACTAATGATCGACGATGAGACAAGCATCAAGCAATTAATTGCCGGAATGATAATAGCAGCTAGAAATATTAGTACATTAACAGAGGCCATCCAGGCAGCTAAAGACGAGGATATTGCGACTTCCTCAACCTCGGGCGATATTTTTAGTATGGATTATAACAGACGTGACAATTTCAGATGCCGTTGTAACAGGCGTTAACAAAGCGCACCCCATTACAACTACAACCATACTCGAGGGAATCACGGTAAGAGCAACCAGAATACCAGCCCCAGGAGCAGAGCTACGGTGCCAGAGCATTCAGTCGTGACACCTGGACAAGATCTCGCGGTGCACGCGGAGGACGTGGT